TTTCAAATAAAAAACGTAGTATATGCCACGTGTAACTTCTAAGCTGATTCAGAAGGTGTTGTTCAAGTGCCGTTTCCAATTTTAGTAGCCGCTAGGTCACTTTTTCGGCTTTTTTAAATTGGACTCACTTTTGTGGAATTGGGCCTCCTAATACTAATATTGGTGTCCTTTTCCCTATATAATAAGGTAAAAGGTACAAATATAATTAATATATGCTTGTAGTATGTGTGTGAGAACAAATATATTTTTGTTCTATTTTTTGGAACAAATATACGTCTGAAGTTGATGTGAGAGTGCATGTATACATCTTAACTTTTAAAAGATGCAAAAATGCCCTCATGTTTTCAATAAAGCAACAAACTTACCCTTATTTACTTTAAATAAATAAATAAATTTTATAAAACACCAAAAGTTAATTATAAACTCGAAATTAAAAATAAAAAAATTTAAGAGTTAAAAATAAAGAATTATTTTTATGTTAAAATATTAAATATTTAATTTTAAATTGCCAAATTATTATTTTTCCCTTGTAACTGAAGCACTAAAATATATTTACACATTGTTTCATTTGTTTTTTAAATATCATTCTTTGATTTTGTTTAACTTTAATGAAATTAAATACACCAATTTTGTAATCTTGGACTATTTATCATCATACAAAATATGCAATTCTATAGTGCAAAGAATATAAAAAATTAATGTTTTTTACATTGCAACACATATGTTAACACTTTTCCAAAAGAATCTTAAATATATACTACGTCCGTCCCCATAATATTGAGACGGAAGGGAGTGATTTGGTTTTTAAGAAAAGTAGAATTATGTGATTGATAATGAGTTAATAAAGTGGATATAAAGTTAGAATGATTTAGAGCCACACAAAATGATACTCCCTCTGTCCCATTTATATTGTCCCAGTTCCTATTTACTTGGTTAACACAAATCACTTTTAATTTCTTACTTTATATATAAAAAATTTATCAAATTTGATTCAGGTTTTTGCGACTTTGTAAAGCTTTAAATTTAATTTCTGAATATGTAATTTTTTTTCCTAAAAATAATTTGAGTGCGAACAGGAATCTGTTTGCTTTATCGTCGGTCAAACATCGTCGTAAACCGTAAAGAGACAATATAAATGGGACGGAGGTAGTACCAAATATGGTATGAGACTATAATAGGGGCATCCAAAAATGAAAAAATGAGACAATTATAGGAGGACAAAAAGAGTAGTATGTTTTGAAATAATATCTTATAGTTACAATATTAAATTATGATACAAAAATAATGAAAGGGAGAATTGGACACAAGTAATTTTTAATCTTTAAATTTATAATTAATTTTTGAGTTGCCAAACACCTTGTGGTTCGATGACATCACTGTGACACTCCCAAAGAGGAGTTCACATGTTCGAAACTCATCCCAGTCAAAGATGTTGACATTTAACAATGAAGTATTGAACATATACTATAAGAGAGACTAAAAAGTCTAGCAAAAAAAGAACATTTTTTGAGTTTTTTCCCTAAATAATGTCAAACAAAAAAATATTTCCAAAATTAATGTTAGGTTAAACGTATTTCCGAAAATACTACATAAACAAACCTGAGTTTAGAGAACCGTCACTTGGAAAAAAAAAGATGACACCCCATCCCTGAGGACCCCCCAACACCCACCGGACGGCACGATGAGAGGATGTAAATTGGACTATAATCACAATCTGACAGATAGAGAGTGTGGCTCTGTCCCCGATACTTGCAGAGGCCCTATGCATTTTTCAGCATAGTAACCCCTCATCGCAGTTGCCGGGATTCGAACCCGAGACCTAACCCTTGTGGCACTCTCTTGCTACCACTTGAGCTACGCACACCGGTAGAATCGTCACTTGAAGAGTTGAAGTGACGGTTTATGGAAAGAGAATGTAGCGATGCCAAAGCCAAAGGATATAAGGTAATGAGTCTCATCCAAAATAAAATCTCGTGTTTTCTAATAAAGTGTCGTAACCATTTTATTTGTACTCTAATTGTTACAAAAAGTATATCAAAACTCATAACTTTTTATTACCTTTCATATGACACCAATATTGAATATATAAAAATAAAAAAATAGTTTAACACTTTAAAAATTATCTATTTTTTGTTGTGGAATATTTTTATTTGTACTCTGAGGATGTTTTTACTTGGACTGTAATTTGCTGGACTGGTCTGATTTGGTCTGGTGTCTTTGTATTTTTATAACTATACAAGTCTGTTCTGGTCTATTCTGGTCTGGTTACGTCTGGGACAAGTTACAGTCCAAGTAAAAACATCCTGATTGTAACAAAAAATATCTAAACTCATAACTTTTATCATATTTTATATGACACCTATATTGAATATATAAAAATAAAAAAACAATTCAACACTTTAAAAACATACTTCGTATGTTTTTAAAAAATGCATGATATACCATTTTTATTTGCACATCAAGTTTGTACAAAAAATATACGGAGTATCAAAATTCATAAATTTTTATTACCTTTCATATGACACCAATGTTGCATATAAAAATAAAAAAATCTATTAATTTATGCAGTTTATAATAGTTTTTTATCTTGCACGCTATTAATCAAGAGTGATGACTTAGAATAAAATAGCATAAATTCTCGCGCAAAGAATAAAATAAATAAAAAAAGTGATAGACTTTGTGCAATTTTATTTTAATCTATCACTCTCGATTAATTGTGTGTACGGTAAAAAATGATCCTAAAATGCATAAATTAAGATATTTTTTATATGAAACATTGCTTTCATATGAAAGGTAATAAAAAATATGAATTTTGATATATTTTGTGTAATAATCAGAATACAAATAAAAAAGACATAGTGATTTAAAAACAAATGATTTGTAAAGTGTTAAATTATTTTTTTGATTTTTATGTATTCAATATTGATTCATATGAAAGGTAATAAAAAGTTATAAATTTTGATATATTTTTTATAATAATCAGAGTACAAAGTAAAACATTATGACACTTTATAGAAAATAGGAGATTTTATTTTGGGTGGGTCTCATTACGTTATGTTCTTTGACTTTGCCATTGCGTGTTACGTGCATTCTTTGAACAGTATTTGGGGAAATACTTTTAACCTAACATTAATTTGAGAAATATTTTATTACTCCCTCCCTCCGTGCCCTTTTAAATGTTTTGTTTATCATATTGAGATGTTCCTATTTAATTGTCTCATACCTTATTTGGCAAAGTTTGTGTGGCGCAAAATCATTCTTACTTTATTATTACTTGGGTTTTTTACAAGATTATTACTAAAATAAAACTTATTTACATAAATATGACTATTCATTACTACAACGTAGTGTTGTGGTAACTTAAGTTCAAAACTTGAACATGAATTACTATGATTTCATTACTACTCTAATAACTAATCATATTTTTGTAAATCATCTTTATTTTCATCATATTTATGTAATTATTTCTTATTTTACTTTATCAATTAATATCAATCACACAAACCCACTTTTCATAAAACTCTGTCACCCTCTTCCGTCCCAATATAAAAGGGACAGAGGTAGTATTTGATATTATTTTGGGAAAAAAGTCTTAATTTTTGGCATTTTTTGAAATTTATTTTATCTGGCAATAAGAGTAAAAGTTAAGAATTATGCAATTCCACACTAAAATATTTATTCCAAACAAAATATCAATACATTTGTTCTTGCACCAGAACATTATTTTTTATTGGAACTGAACCTTTTGAGAGAGGAATGCTCAGGTCCATCCGGAGAGAGGGGAGGCTCCGTCCGAACTTTACTGTTTGAGGCGGTTCTCGGTAGAATTTTTTGATGAATTTTTTTTAGCATGTTCCTCATTAAGTCTAGTTTATCCATACTAAATTTCAGCTCAAGATTCGATCGGGAATGCATTCAAATAAATTCTTGAAACATACTGCACATTATATGTGCGCAGAATGTGTAGTATGTTTCAAGAATTTATTTGAATGTCTTCCCGATCGAATCTTGACCTAAATTTGGTATAAATAAACTAGACTTGATGAAGAACATGCTTAAAAAATTTAATAAAAACAATTATAACGGACACCACCCCAAACTATAAAGTTCGGATGACACCCGGTCTCTCCGAATGAACCTGAGCATTGGTATATAAGTGGTATATAAATAAGAGTGAATTCCCTAAATAGGACTAAAAAGTGGAAAAATTGCACAAATAGGACTACATTTTTTAAATTCCCTTAATAAGACTATTTATGTGTGTTTGGACAAATATACCCTTGTAACTTGTGAAATGTTTTAATTAATAATAAAATCATAAAAAAATAATAAAAATCGAAAAAATACTAAAAATCGTAAAAAAAAATAATAGAAAATTAATAAAAATATTTTTTTTTAAAAAAAAAAATTTATAAAAAATAAAAAATAATTAAAAAAAATCATAAAATTAAAAAAAACACATTACCACCCCCGCCACCCCCCAACACCACCATCTCCCATCACCGGACAAAAATATGCCAACATTTTAAATAATGCCATAATGATGGCATAATCAATGAAAATGTTGGCATATTGAAGAGTAATTATGCCATCTTTTTGACATTTTCAGAAAAATATGGCATTTTTTTACCAAAAGTGGAAGAAATTTCACCAATCGGAGGTGGTGGTGCTGGGAGGCGGCGGGAGGCGGTGAGAAAGGTATCCATAATTTTTTTCATTTTTTATGGGTTTTTACTATTTTTTATTATTTTTTTAAAAAAATTAAAAAAATAAAAAATTAAAATTTTATTTTATAAATGTTTTATAATTTTTTTTTAATTTTTTTACGTTTTTTAAATATTTTTTTACGTTTTTTGTGATTTTATTATGAATTAAAGCATTTCATTATGAATTAATACTCTTAGGGTAGAAAATCAATGTTTAATCCTATTTAGGGAATTTTAAAAATAGTAGTCCTATTTGTGCTTTTTAGGAATTTTTTAGTCCTATTTAGGACAATTTGTGTATAAATAAAGAGTAGTTGACAGGTAAACCAGATTCAACCCATATCTACTTGTTCCTGCGTTTCATTTCAAGTTGAAGAAAGATGGGGAAAGCCCAAGCCTTCAAACAACAATTCACTCTCGGTTTCTTCCTTTCTCTAATAACTATTTCCCCAGTTTTAGTGAGTCATTTTTATTGTTAATTTTCCCCCTAATCACCTAATCAATTGCAGATGAACGGCTCCAAGAATCGCAAGATATGATCGCCAAATATCCTGATCGTTTGCCTGTACGTTCCCCTTCTCCTCTTATCCAAGCTATATTGTTCTTACTCTTCGTTTTTTGGTGACCATTTCTCAGTTCGGCAAAACTTATAGTCAAATTGTTAATTTTTGATGATGATCGGTTAGCATTAAATAGTCAATTTAGGGGATTTTAAGTTTAGGTAAGCTGTATTTCGTCTGTGTGTACCTTACTGGCTGTTAATGGAATACTGGATTAGTGTGATGCATAATTCTCAATAATTTAGCAATTTGCACAGCAAACAAGAAAAGTTTTAAAGCATTAGTGCTTTGCATAATCTTAATAGTTGAACTTCATTTTCTAGCGGAGACTCTGCAATAATTTAACATTAGTACTACTAATTGCCAGCAGTGATGTAATGCAATACTCCATAACTACTGATAATTTCCACAAATAGGGACAAATAGCAAAAGATGTTGGGGTAGGGGATGGAGGTAATAGAGGAACTGTATTTAGAGAAATTTAAAATCCTGGGTATTCCATTGTCATGTATAGGGAGTGTTTGTGATTACTTCTACTTCAAAATGTGATTTTAGAGAGAGTGCTTAATTGTAAAAGTTGGCAATGTCTTGATAAAAAGTGCTTTTGTAAAAGTAAGAGTTTGTAGTGTTTGGTAAAAGATGTTTTTTGTGTAATAGAAAAAGTGAAGCAATTTAAAGCACTCTTCCTCTTGCTTCCAGCTTTAAGCAAAAGCGATCACTTGAAAAACACTCATTTTAGCTTTTTTTAAGTGAAAAGCTCAAAAACACTTTTTTTTAAAGTTTTTGCAAACACTCCCATAGTCCTTTAGTACTCTGTATGTCTGCATAAGAATCCATATAGAACCTCCGTGTACAGAATTTCTCGCCTCACAAGGAGCTTCCTTGTTTGGTCTTAATTCCCCAAAAGTTACAGACAACCTTTTGGAGAGTTTCTAGTGTAGATGACCTTTTAATGCCACAAAAATGCTTGCGAGATGCTATTAGGATTTGATTTACATGACATGAGTTCTTCTTGAACCATATCCCCTACATAATGTCTTTTATGCTGCTAAATCCATGCCATAACAGTTTGCATGCGCATCACTATGCACCACAAATCTAAAGTCTTCAGAGTCACATAGAGGAGTTTTCCCCACTTTTAGTCCTTTTACTAGAGTGAAAATGACTCTTTTGGTACTTGTCTTCAAAGCTTTCTGTTTTTAGTCCTTGACTATTGCAACATAGACATTTTTGTAACTCTTTGATTTTTTTTACCGCAAATCCTCAAACTATATAGTGACACATTTGACGTTTTTGGTCCTCCGTATCTGTAGGGGGGGTTGAAATCTACCATCTTCATCATCCATATTCATCACTAATGCATATTTAGACCCTAGAGTTTCTTTGGTTACCCTTTTTCTCTCTTCACAAAATCTCTGTCACACTCTAAAGCAAATGAATTTTACTACCATCTGGCCTTTCAGTAGTTACATTGCTTCATTCTCTTGCACACATTAGTTAAAACTGAATTCAAAGGTAAGTATCATCCCATTTTTTGTGTATGTGTTTTCCATTCATAAACTTCAAAGAAACTGTATGTGAAATCTTTCAGTTAGATGTTTTTCTCATTCAAATGTAGAGCTTCCCCATTTCGTGTTTACCTTTTCTTGGTTCCTAGACTTCTGTGTCCGTGGCTCCGTGCAAGGTAGTGTAGGAGTGCATCTAAGGTTACAACTTTATTAACCCTCCTTTTTTATGCCCTCTGTGAGACATGGGAACTAATGACAATTTTAATTATTAGTACTATAATTGTGAAATGTTGTACTTGAAGGCGCAATGCCATCTCAAGCCATGCTTCATTTTTGTAATTTTTTGCAGGTGGTAGTTGAGAGATATTCAAAAACTGATCTCCCTGAAATGGAGAAGAAGAAGTAAGCAATCGGTCTTGCACTTTTTTTAATGCTGATTTTTAGCTTGTTGATGACTTTCATTCCCTGTGTCATTGTGATGGATAGATACCTGGTACCCCGAGACATGCCTGTCGGACAGTTTATCCATATTTTGAGTGCCCGACTCCATCTGGCCCCTGGGAAGGCTCTGTTTGTATTTGTGGAGAACACCCTGCCTCAAACATGTGAGAGTACTTCTCATATTTCTTCTGTGTCTATTCATTCATGGGTCGCCGTATTATTTGTCACTTTATTTTGTCCTCATTCTTTTTCTTTTACATTATTTTTTTGCAGCTGCATTAATGGAGTCTGTTTATGAATCGTTTAAGGATGAAGATGGGTTCTTGTACATGTGCTACAGCAGCGAGAAAACCTTTGGCGCCTTAACTCCTCTGTATTTTACATAACATTTTTCATACTCCTCTGTATGAAAGAAAACCGCGTTTACTTTCATCTGTACATTTTCTTAAGTTGTGTGTGCATATTTTTAATATAATAATATTCCACTCATCTCATATTCAGTTGCCCCATATATCCATACCGTCCAAAAATGTCTGTGCTATGCCAAATTTGTCCATGTTTTGTTGCTCAAAATTATTTGAGATGGGTATGAACTTTATTATGGGTAAATGCTGAGGCAATCTTTTTGGATGAGCTGTAGAAATATCAAATATACTATAACCAAAAGTGTACCTAATTCAAGGGGCTTACCCCAATACAACAATCCCATCAGTCAGCAAAACTCATACTAAAACCTCCAGGAAACAGTAATAGTTTTAGAAAGTAGAAACCAGCCTACAAGTTTAGCAAAACACTAACGGCCTGTTTGGATCAAGTGTTGGAAGGTGTTAGTAATGGAAGTGTTGAGGAGGGTTGGTTCTAACACTTGTTTGGGAGATTTTTTTAGAAAAATTTGGAGTGTTGGTAAGTGTTTAAAAGTGTTAGGAAAAACCTCCATAACACCTCAATAAGTAACTTTTTTAACACTCCAAATTGGAGTGTTTTGGAGTGTTGGACAAAACTTCCCTTCTTCCTGCCGTTCTACCTCCACCCTTCCGTCAAAATGGTAATCGTCGACACAATCCTACCATCGTAGCCTTTAGCAGTCATCCCATCCAATTGAAATCATCTTTCTTTGCTTATGTTTCCCACTTTCCCCACTTGCCATCATGTATTATTTGCAGATTCATGTCTTGACTCATCGATTTTATTTTTTCTCTACACATGTCATCCATGGGGTTTAATTATTACAGATTCATGTTTTTTTTTCGAATTGCAAAATCATGTTATCAAACAAAATATACTCCGTATCAGTATTTTGCCAAAAAAGAAGTAAAACATACCGGTACTTAGTATGTGGTGTACGAATCAGGCCTACAGAGAAGCTTTTGAGAAGTAGAGGTATTTGCAGAATTGCAAGGCTTCGATTCCATCGAATATATATTGCTTTTAGAATTTAAAAGAGGACATTATTGTCAACTTAATTGAAAACACTTCCGTTGTTAAAACTTCATTTTTTTAATTCTCCCAATCAAGGTAGGTTTATATTTTACACTTATCTTCCCTTCCGGGTCATTGCCAACACTCACTAACACTTTCATTACTAACAGCTTTCAACACTTCATCCAAACAGGAACAACACTTCATCCAAACAGGAAAGGACTGGTCAAAAGTTTGATGGATATAATTTGTGAAGTACTTTACACTTTTACAGTTTACTAGTCACCACCTTGCATAGGCTATTCATCTAATTGTATGGTGCATGTACTTATTTTAATATTTATGCTGAGTGAAGTGATAATTATACTCGAATTATGAGTATTTTTCTCAAGCCCAATTTGTTTAAAAATTGAGCACCTCCAAATAGGGCTGGACTCGGGCCGGGCGGCCCGACCCGGAACCGGCCCGGCCCGGCCCGGCCCGCCCACTGTAGCAACCGGCCCGGTGGCCCGGTCCACCGGCGGTTCGGGTCGAACTGGCCCGGTGGATACCGGTTCCGGGCCCGGGCCTTCCATTTGGTGAACCGGCCCGGCCAGTTCGGGCCCGGTCCGGGCCGGAATTAATTTTGTTTTTTTTTTTTTGAAAATTTTTTAAGTTTTGGGTTGGATTAGGTATTTTGGGCCATTTGAGGTGGTTTGGGGTTGAGGGGGAGGGTTAGGGGTTAAATAAAAGAAGCCAAAAAAAAAAATTAAATACCCGGGTGAACCGGCCCGGTCCGGCCCGGAACCGGAACCGCCCACCCCCGGTTCGGGCTCGGGCCTCATATTTCTGAACCGAGGCCCGGCCGGGCCCAGGCCCGAGGCCCAAACCGGCCCGGTTCAGTCCAGCCCTACCTCCAAAACGTGTTTTCTTTTCTTTTTTCTTTTTGGTTGAGGGATATACTAACTTTGCAATATTCTATTTAGGTGTTGAAAGTATGCTTAAAAGTTGTATGTTGATTGAAGTACGAGGAAGATAATGAAAGATTCTTTGTAGTTGCTTCCAGCGGTGATAGAAATGCTAGTAAAATTTTGTTTATTTATTTCCACAATCCCAGTAAGCTTTTTATGTACATTAAGCTAAAGTATGCCTGCATGTTTAAGATATGGATCATGAAAATAACATTGACAAATGACAGTCAAATTAGAAACGTGCAATCAAAGGTCAAAGTGGATCCAATTAGGTTCATCAAATTGGCCTCTTAACTTCTCACCGTTGCTCCTACCCGCCAAATCCACCTCAGCTATTGGGTGCCACGCTGGCGTGCCATTCTCATATCCATTTGCCGTTAGCCTCTGCAGTGAAGTCCCATCTAACCTTACAATGTATAGGTCGCCGTACGGCTGAAACTGGTTGGGCAGCGATACTGGTTCTGCCGTTACTCCACCCAAGTTGGCCGTGAACAACATCCACTCACTGTCCGAACTGAAACAAACATGATTCAGTCTCTCCCTGCTGTTCACCTCATCAAACCCTTCCGGCCCGGCAACGTGAATCCTGCGAAGATCAGTTCCGTCGGGACGAATGACATAGATGCTAAACTGAGTGGCGTCGTCTGGGTCGTGTCTGTTGGACGAGAACGCGATCAGTTTGCCATCAGGTGACCAGTTAGGCATGGTATCAATCCAAGGCCCGTCTGTTAACTGGCGGATTTTGCCGTCTAATTCTCCATCACGGGAATCCATTACGTAGAGATTCTTGTATCCCGATCGACCAGACCGAAACACGATGTGTTTCCCGTCTGGCGAGCAAGATGGAAATGCGTTATTCCCGGTGGATTCTTTCGTTAAAATTTTGACATCCGCGGGGACATTTTCCTGAGAATCATTGCTCAAATCCGTGGGATCGAAAGTAACACGGGCTATCTGGACGGAAGCTTTGACAGACTCGAATATAGGCCCTATTGACGTGAAAATCACGCCGTGCTCCGTCGGGCTCCAGGCATTGCCGAACGCCGTGCGGCCAGTGATTAACGTCCACCGTTTAGAACCGTCTGACTTGACAATGCTGAGGCCGTTTGTGATGCTCGATTGGGAGTCCAATTTACGACTATATGCAATAAAATACCCCGATGGAGAGAAAGCAGGGAATGATCCATTCAGTCTAAACATCCTAAGAGTGTTCACCGGAGAAGTCACCGGATCCAAATTTGGAATTATGTCTTCATCGTGCTGTACCGATTCTCCTCTGAATCGATGGTAACCGAGCACATTTGATCCTGGAGAGACAAACGGGCTGTAGTGGTTGCAGTTAGGGTTTAGTAATTCGGTTACCGGATAAAATTCACCTGACTCCGTATCAAAAATTTCAATGTGCCGGTAACTACTGCCCCGCCGTCTGGTTGCGGTTGCAATTCTACTTGAATTGTGCATTGCTGCAGGGGTGAAGCAGTGAAGGCCCGGAGGAGTTACTCGAACAGGGGCGGCGCATGTGTGTTGAGATGAAGAATCGGTACAGGCGAAATTTTCCGGCAGATCAAACCTGTAAATACTCCACCAGCCGTCGTCGGCTTGGCGGTGAAAGTAGATTGTCCCATCGCCGGACCACGAAGGCCAACCACCGTGCTGGCACAGATGAATCCGCCTTGCTGGATCCAACTCTGGAAAAACGACGATATCCGTTTGGAGATCGTGAAACTCACCTGGCCAAGTACGAGACCCGTAAGATGCGACGGCGACGAATTTTCCCGTTTGAGAAACGGAGGGGCTGAAATCGGCTTCGCCGTACGGCGTCAACCGAGTGATTTTCCTCTGACGGAGATCGGTGGAGTAAAGAGCTGACCAGCTCTTGAAAAGCTCCGCGGGAGGTTCATGAGCAGAAATATAAAGCAGATGCTGTCCATTTCTGATGAGAGGGCGGTCATGGAAGACGCTTTGGGAGGGAGAGAGTAACTGCTGCGGCTTTGAGAGATTTTCCTGCAAGTAAACCCGAGACGATCCGGATCTCTATGAGACGAAGACGAGCGTGGCTCCTTCATCGAGGAACTGGCCATTGAAATTAACAGAAACACCATCCGTCAGGCGTTGCTCGGACAGAGTGGAATTGAGTTGGTCAAGAGATGGTGGAAGTGTGACGGAGAAGATATCGAAGCCGTATTGAGTTCTGCCTACGGTGGAGAATACAACAGTTCCGGAAGGATCCATATGTAATTTAACTGTAATCCTTTGTGTTACTAGGAGTGGATGAGTAAGGAAGATATGGCATGCATTTGTATGAAACCGATAAGATCATGCAATATAAAGGCGGTAGACAATCGTCATCGTCATAGGCGGTAGACAAATTGGTTTTGTATAGCCCCGGTGTAAAGTCTCCATTGCTGCAAGGGTAGACAAATCGGTTGAAACGACTAAATTTGTTGAAATGGTTGAATTGGTGGCTTCTCCGTATTCATTCAAAAGTATACTTAAAATACATTTTATTAATAAAATAAAGAAAAAAATTACATGAAAAATAGCTATAATGGTTATCTACACAAACTTCAGCCAATACAGCTAAAAAAATAACTCTAAACTTACTTTTTTACACAAGTCAACGCACGAAATCAAAAGTTACGTTGTTGGTGAAAAAGTTGATTGATAAGCCTGATAAACCGAAAAATTGGGTTATCAAACGGGCTCTTAATTTGGTTTGAATCTAATATTATTTAGAAGTGCAAATATGTTATTGAATTTTGTAAATCTCTTAGGTGTAAACTTTCCTATTTTTATGATCATTATAAGTGTCACGATATGTTTTTGATGTTGTTTATAATAATGTTATAGGTTTAACGTAGACTTGATAAAAAGTAAGACATTCTTGGTACTATAGAGCACGATATACTTTATTAAGATGCAATGTAGCTGCTTTTGAGATAGATTTATTTTCGAAAATGAAAATGTGACAATTACTCCATAGTTTAATACAACTGATGATATGAATACATGATACGTATAGAGTTATAGTAATACAAAGAGAATATATATTTTCAGAATTTAATTTGGATCAATTTGATTTAATACTACTTCTAGAAAGAGTAATTTTCAAAGCGAATAATGTACTTCCTCTGTCTCGTTAAAAATGTCTCATGATCTCGTCTTTCTTTTTTCGGTCTGTCCCATTAAGATTGTCACTAGTAGAGTATAGATCTAAGAAGTGAGAGCTATAGAGAGAAAGCTTGTATGCAATGTTTTTCAACCCCTACGACTAACCCCAATAGGAGTATTTATAGAGGGAATGTGGATTGAGCTCCCGGACCTTGTGTTGGGAGGCCCGATTACAACTAACAATGGGGCGCTAAAGAACTTATTACATGAATTCACTTAGCTAAGTATAAAGTAAAAGATGTCTGTTAAAGCCCTAGCCGACACTGCCAGGACAAGGGTGCATGGCTGAGGGGGTTAGACCGTGATGAGTTGATGACCATTATTGCTCCATTCCTCCGATCTTTAACTTCTGGGCCTCATCTGTGGAAGCGGGATCGTCTGGCAGAGGGAAACCAGTCGAGGGGTGCACCAATTCATTCGTGATAGATGTATGTATTTCATGAGTGTGTGGGTCGTTGGGGCTAGACCCATATACTCTATTAGTCACATACCAAATTTGATAGTTAAACTGAAGTAGTATAATTTAATTTCTATTCAATATTTTTTATACATTGGAAATGCATTCAATTTAATTTGATTGGAACTGACACGATTTGAATGTGCACTCTATAAAAAAAAAACTAATTTAAATAAATGAGATACTGCATGGTGGACTAAATATATGGCCCGGGATCCCACGATCCACATACTTCCACTGTCTCATTAAGTCCAACAGTTAGCTCAACCCATATGCAAGAGCACATATACGGCGGCCCAAGTGCAGACAACCTAAGATCAGCTAGGAACACCACTTAGGACATAGCCCGAGGGCATCAAATTACAACGTTCCAGTACCGTTCACCCCGACAAGATGTCTGGGTCATTCGCTCCTCCAGACGAGCCCTCGACAAGAGCCTTCGGCATCGAGGGTGAACCCCACGGCCTCGGCACAACTGAAATTCAGGCTGTCATTTCCCAACGCTTCAACCACCACATTTAATGTTGTGCTACGTGCTCGCGCTCGTGCCACTGGAATGCTCTCCTCCATAGATTAGTTTACACGTGTATGTGCATTTAATGCACTTAGCATTTATGAATAGTAGAAATAGCAACCGTTTAGGAGTTGTAATGGACTATTGTTCAATTAATACTATTGCTCTCTCTCTCTCCTACTTGTTAGCTCAGCATTCTCTCTAGATATCACTAGCGTTATCCAGATATTAATTGTCTATCAATGCACAATGCAGAATTGCAGATGGTGTAAAAATGGAGATTTGAATATAAAAGCAAGTTGATCAAAATGATATTACACTATGCAAACAATTCTTACCTTTATTCTTATAATAAAAATACCAAACTTATTATTGGATTATGACGTCAATTTAATACGGAGAACTTAAATTTAAGGCGAACGACCATTTAATAGAAATGTTGCACGATTCCAAATGATTTTAATAGAGTTTTGAGTTCAGTAAGATTTGAGTTTGTGAAGAATTTAAAAAAGTAATAATGTTCTATTACTCTGTATTACTTATTTTGATTAATTACATAGATAATTTTCTCTAATTTTAAGGGATTATTATGGAAATATTACTAAAACATAGATGATTTCCCACAATATGACTATATCATGAGATTTCCCATAATATGATAAACACAGTTACCATATTAATCATATAACCGTGCATCCATATCATTCCTACTATTTAGGAAGAGTAAAACCCTTCCTATAAATACTCATACACGTAGTAATATTGGAAAAAAAACTCAAAGACTCATACATTGGGAAATGATTGATCTTTTAGTCACAACATAGATAGTTTTCTCTAATTTTAATTGATTTGAGTTTGTGAAGAATTTAAAAAAGTAATAATGTTCTATTACTCTGTATTACTTATTTTGATTAATTTTAATTGATTTTAATATTCTACATACAAAACAATCTACCACAAATTTTGCAAGCATGCTAGATTTTAAAATCCACAATCTTTTAATTCCATTGGATAAGGAACCGAAATACTCCGTATGAAGAGGTGGGTGTGTGAAGTTTGTTTTCATACTTCATAAGTTCATAGGGAGCTAGCTGTTGAATACTTGAATGTACTACGAATTATTTTTGGCGTGGGCCCTACATCTAGCTTACACCACCGTCGCCAACTAACTGATAACATCCCCGGCTGCCGGAATGTCTGCAATCTCTGCCGCCGTACCACTCCCGACTCCCGCTTCCACCTCGCTAAACAGCGTTGGTAATTTCCATCAGACTCTTTTCCCATTATTCACCGATAAGACAAGAAAGTCAACTCCTATAGAGTCCTCACTCATCAGCAGATACAGCAACCATGGCTTTCTCTACCGGAGGGTCTCTCGGAGATCACCCCCCAGACTTCGATCCCTCTTCTCCCCCGTCATGAAATGGCAAGATTGCAAGTAATATTCTTCAATTTCTATCAATTATTGAGTATTCTTATTATAAACTATAGTGTTTTAGCTCACAATAGTAGCAATGATACTAATAGTAATATATAATGTTACTATGTTAGGAGTAGTAATGTGCGATATTAATCATCATTATCATTACCCCACCGCAGCAAAGGCTACACCTACAGTGGGAGTGGGGTAAGGGGTCGGATGTATGCAGTCTTACCCCTGTACTAAAGCATACGAAGAATGTTTCCGGATGACCCGTGGTGAGAATAGCGTCGAAAATTGCATGGGCCAACGGGTGCTTCATAACAAAGAAGGGCAGACACTTTAGTGAACTATTTTGCTTTATTCCATCATATTTTCAAGCAAAAAAGTAGTGGACACGATATTAATACTTAATACTATAGTAATTTATTATACGCATAGCGTGGACAACACCATGTCTATATTTGTTACATAACTCGGGTTCCATTGTCAAATCTGATATGAGGAGTACTCCATAATCGTTTTTTAGAGCGGGTAATCCGTAATTTTATATAATGGTCTATTGTCTTATACCAATATGATGTGAGACAAATATCAACACGTCCCTTAGTCCAATTCGGGTCGGGCAACATCGGGATATATAAATGGATCAATCAAACTTTTAACGAGCACCTTCGAATAGCTCACTTTTTAATAAAGTGGCAGAAAGGGTTACTAATGGATGATGGATCTCATATATGCAGGGTGAAGATGGACATAGATGTACCCTCTTCAATTGCTTATAAATGCTATGCCGATCGTGAAGCAATTCCCCAGTGGATGCCTTTTATTTCGTCCGTTAAGGTTTGTGCTGCTAGAATCTCTTGTATTCATTCCATTCTCATTAAGCTGCTTCAGTAAGAACTCATTGGTATTAGTTTTAGGAACACTTGATTTTGATATCTCTTGACCATCACTCTTGTGCCTATATATGAGTTAGTGTTTCTACATGTGGCAGTTGCATCGAAGATTTTAAATTTGATACTTTTTTGCTGTAGTCACTCTTATATATTACAATAAGAGCACTAACCTTGCTCCCATCATGCTTTGGAGTTTGGAATTTGCTGCTAAGAGAAGTTGATTTAGATTGTAATGTCAGGTTTTAGAAGATAAGCCTGAACTATCTCGATGGTCACTCAGTTATAAAGCATTTGGACAGAATATTGAATTCTCTTGGCTTGCCCATAATATGCAAGTAAGGTTTTCTTTCATGTCGAGCCTAAGTCTTAACTTTTTAGTATCTTTCAAGCACACTGTGGCACTGCCATTCGACTCTTACAGGTGGTGTTTTTCTGTTTGTGCACAGCCTACTCCAAACCAGAAAATTCACTGGAGATCCCTTGAAGGTCTTCCCAACAGGTACTGAATATCATGATGTCAATTTTCAGATGCTTTCACATTTTTGGACCATTTCACTTTGACCAAATCTTTATGCACTATTCCAGTTTTGGGATTTCTGAAGGTTTTCCCACTTCGGTAATACACTGATACATAGACTCACAGAGATAAGGAGATGGGAAATAATCCATTTAGTTCAAATGCTTCAATGAAAAATAGAACTAGATATTGCCTGTGTTTTCAGCATGTATTCCATGAAGTGTCTATTTTCAATTGTTACTACGTACATTTTAATACATTCACCCTTTTGATCATAGGGGAGCTGTTCGTTTTTTCCCTAAAGGCGCTTCATCATGTACTGTAGAAGTAAGCCATCATCACTGTCTTTTCCTTACTGCACGATACATTTGGGCGTTGCCTGGTAAACCAGTACGGTGTGATATGATGCTTTACCAACCTGTGGTGTGATTGTCAAAATAAAATATAAGAAAAAGAAAGGAAATGGTTTCCCAAATGGGTATACGTAGATTGTCTGAAACATGAACATAACTCGTGCAAATTTTCCATCCTATTGATGGGACTCAAATCAGACCAGCTTGTCTTTATATTTTCTTTCATTTATTTTTATTTTCATTATTTCAGCTAACAGTTTCATATGAAGTTCCTTCATTGTTGACTCCTGTGGCATCAGTAAGAGTTCCAGTCTTATCTTAGATAATAATACTTCATTGCGTTTTTAGTTTCACTCTGAATAATGAAGCCTTTTGTTTAAAACATTTCTCAAATTTCTCTTATATGTCCAGGCGTTACAACCTTTTACTGAAAGCTTACTGCTACGCGGGTTAGAAGCGTTTGCAAAATTCGCTCGAGGCTACACAACTGTGCAACCTATTGATATCGAAACTGTGAAAAGTGACGAGTGATATCTTGTACTCTTACAGTCTTATGTTTTCCTTGAAGTATAACAAAGCATGTTGAACCTCAGCTGCTGTATATCTCAACACTTGGTGTGCGTTTCGCAGAACTTACTTAAGAGATTAAGGACTCAATTAGTTCCAGTGCCTAGGCGACTATAGGTTGTTTTAAGCTTTAAATAAGATATTAGTTCTTGTACATGTTTTCATCTGGTAAGCTATATCTCATCCCATGAAGGAAACAAACTACCATATAGTAACTTTTTATTTTGTTCCACCAATGCCCACTGTATTATGTTACATAATCAAGTCTTCAATCATTATCGATCTTTGTTTTTTATGGAGTATAGTATTAGTTACTGAATTCTTAGTTTTAGCAAGGAATTTTATTATCAATTAGAGCTATTGAATTTTTATATTCCAGCAAATGTTAAGCCTTAGAAGATATTTCTAGTTCTGCGTTATATCGTTAATCTCTTACACACCAATGGAATATAGCACTAGAGTACGTTATAAACTAGATTCAAATTTTGTAGACGAGCAATTTGGAATATTCAGCACGCCTCAAGGCTTAAGCCAGGGGGAATTGATTGAATGAAAAAATGGATCCAAAAAATTGATTGAATGAACTAAATGATCCAACCCGATCTAAAATGGTTGCCCCATTTTTTCAGGGTTTTGTCGAAAATTTTAAGAAGAAAAAAGGAATCCAAAGGTCAATGGTGGTGTGCATATTATATTTGGGGCTATGAAGGCTATCAGTATAAGACAGAAAAAGAAAAAGTGCAATGTATAAATTATCATCAAAATAACAGTATGGAACAGAAAAATGGGTAATCAAATAAGTCAACATACAACAAAGTATGCCATAATAAAAGGAAACTATGAGAACAGTATCTTTCTCACATCTAACCATAGAGGGGAAGAAATGTTTTTTCCCAGGCAAAGAGCAGAGTGTTATTACATATTTGCTTCTTACTATATGTACAATAAGATCATAAATTACAAAAGAAATGGATATCAAGCTGTGCATCTACCTACCTCAGGTAAAACACACTACAAGAGTCATTCATCTTACGTTACACTATTTCCCCAAACCAATTCTCATGTACACTCTCCACCCCCTTCCAAAACTGCTATTTCACAAACAGCTTTATTCAGCAACACTCTACAGTCAGGCACTGCCATTACTACCATTTAGCAAGCTCCGAAGGTTGCATATGGCCTCCGGGGAAAAGTGGCAACACCTTAACCTTGGATGGCGTGTTGGGGACAGTTCAAGATGTTCGAAGGAAGTAAAACAAACAATGATCACTGTTAGATTATCAAACGTGTTTAACCGCAGGGCCTCCATGACCAGGTCTTTCGCACACTGTTCAGGGTCATCGTGCCGCCTCAGCCCACGTCTCACAAGATGTTGGCTGTTGGGGACAGTTCAAGATGTTCGAAGGAAGTAAAACAAACAATGATCACTGTTAGATTATCAAACGTGTTTAACCGCAGGGCCTCCATGACCAGGTCTTTCGCACACTGTTCAGGGTCATCGTGCCGCCTCAGCCCACGTCTCACAAGACTGACTGCTTCTTGACTTGACATCACATCCCATATCCCATCACAACCGATTATGAGGAACTCATCATCCTCGGTAAGAAGAATTTGTTTCAGTTCAGGCTCTGCGATGAGAGGGGATTGAGACCCATGAGGCAGCTTCATGTCCCAATCACCCAAGGCCCGAGTCACTGACAGAACACCGTTCAGGTAACCATCATCAATGAAGGCACCCAACTCTTCCACTCTTGTTCTCTCTAGAGAGTAATTAGGTCTGTGGTCTTGAGACATATCGAATGCCTCCCCTTTCCTGCTAAGAACTGCTCGACAGTCTCCTGCGTTCGCTACCATTAATAGCCTGCATTAAACATCAAATACTCAATCACGAGGAATGAAGGGCGATTGTATAGTCACTCCACACACCTGTCAAATACTCCCTCCATATTGAAATGTTTGCTATAATAGGGTGTGGCACAATATTTAAGGGAAAAGTAGTAGGGGGTAATGAGTAGTGTACAGAAAGTAGGAGAGAGGGTGAAAAGTATGAATGAGAAGATAAAACGTAAAAAGGTAAGGTTAAACTTACCAAAAGGGAAAGTTAATTGAGTTGTTTTAAAGGAAAAACTTACCAAAAGGGAAAGTGTAGCAAAAATTGAAAAACATCCCAAAAAGAAAAGTGTAGCAAGCATTTCAATACGGAGGGGGTATAAAGATACAAATCAACGAGACTACTCATATCTGGTGGTAAAAACCAAGTTTTAATACGGTAAAAAGAGCAATATACGATAAATAAATCAGACAAACAATAAAAGAATACACAAATTTACTGAATTTCATGATTGGTCTGCTCTGACAAGAAACCTAATTATGGGACAGGTCAAACCATTCCAATTAGCTAAACATAAAACCAACATACATAGGTGTTAAGCTACTTGTAAAATTAAACTAAGGCGAAAATGAATTATGCTTTTCTCATTAGGAATACACACCCTGTGCGACCCAATACTTTGTGTCTTCTAGACCATGCATTTTTCTTATAAAGGAATGTGCATTTGATTGTGTGTTCACGGTTTCACACTTTGTGTGTGCATCTTTTTAATTGGACTATTTGTTGGATTGATTTTGATACCTAATGAAGTCTAGGAGTCTATCCTTAAATATTAACCTCAAAGGAGTAGTTCAACGTCTTATATTGGTTTGTTATTTCATATTCACATATTGTTCAACACCACTTCCGTCCAAACTCAGTATTTGGACACATCTATCACAGCCCAATAACGGACATAACTCAACACCGGGAAATGGGATCAAGAAGTCATGATTTCAGGGTTCATCCACTCCACTCTTCAGCAGTACAGATTATATCCTATTTTGGGAATAAAAACATGGAAGTACTATTTTGGAATTTTCAACTTTTTTAGTCCCATTTTGGGTAATATCTCATAAATCTACTACTATGTACAGTATTATAGAAGCAAAATATGACATGGGGCCTTTACCTTCCCAAGACAAGGGCAGTGAGTGCAGTTGTTCCAGAAGAGCTGCTAACACTACTACACTCATCAGCCAGAGCAAGGTCTGCAAGAAGAAACCCTCTGCGCAGACTGTCTTCAAGCTCTCCCAAGAAAGCATCATCCACTCCCTCACAAGTTTGGGGGAAGTTAGCATCTTTGAAAAAGAATCTTATGGCATTCTTTCTGACATAAGCTGCCGCTTCAGCTCCTCCATGTCCATCAAATATCTGCAGAGATTAAATCCCATCAAATCACACCAACATCCAAATACATGATCAATCGCATGAAACCAGTTCAATTCAATCACACAGATGATGAGTTACCCCATAGAAAGCGCTGGGTTTTGGAAACGTGAAGAGTGAGCCGAGATGCGTAGATAGATCATCTATTCTGATGTGCTCATCTTCCATGTATCTTCTTGGCCCAATATCTGAAAAACTGCCGGACCTGATGCTCGGAACGAACTGCAAAACAGCTGCTGCATCCTGGGGTTTAACATCCTGCCAGCGAAAAAAAGAAGCTACCTTTTATCAGTCTTGAAAAGGCCCCATGGCAAGATCAATCCTTAGATCAAAGGGTTCAAAAATAAGACCAAGTGTAAATCAGCTCTGAGCTTATTCCTAGCTTAAACGAACCCTAGATCTAAGCAGAGGATCAGGTTCAATCAAATAAAAACAAGAAAACCATTCAGCTTATTAGGATATACTTCGAGTATCTCAAAATGAAAATTGAGCACTGAGCAGAGAGGAATTAGATGAAAGACGGACCATGTCAGAAGAGGGGACATCCAACACAAGGATGCTCTTTTGCACTACAATCTCGCCTTCGGCTACCATCTTCTCCTCCTCCTCGAAGTTTTTTCCGTTTTTTCTTTGGGTTTCTGAATACTCACACAATAATTGTCCAGAACAAATCAAATGAATCAGCTGCTGCTGCTGCTGATGGGGAAATTGGTGTCCTTATTACTCTGGCTTGGATTAATCGTGGGCGGAAACTGGAAAGGAATCTTCTCTGGTTCTTCTCAGCCAATATGACAAAGAAGAAAATAGTAGAAAGGGATGATAATTTCGGGAACGTTCTTGGTTAAAATTTTCAACAGCGAAGCAACGGGGGGATTGGGTGGGTGGGGCGATGACATTTCTGGAGCTCTTAAAAAAGGGAGTGCAGTAGTGCAGTTGACTTCTGACATTGTGGATGGTGCGCTACTTCGCCACATGTGTGATGGCTAAGAAATGTGTTCACATTCACTGTTTTCCTCATGAGCCCAGGTTGACAAATTTATTGAAATGATTGACCCATCATGAATTATTACCCTTTGAGTAAATGATCATCAATTTGGGATTTTTAATTAAAAAATGCTACTCGTAGTTATGATATAAAAAAAAAATTATGCTAGTGGTACGTGCTAGCTTACGCGTCCAATTACATGCCAAATATATTACTCCCTCCTATTCTTAAATAATTCCTTAAATAATTTCTTGACTTCACATATATTAAGAAAATAAATTGGACTTTACTGTAGAGTGCGTTGTTTGGCACTATTTGAGCACTGTTTGGTACTGTTTGACACTGTTTGCATTGTTTTAGCACTGTTTTGGTGTAGATTTGTTTGACGAATAAGGAAGTAGGAACTTGCTTGGGACATCCGAAAAGGAAAAAGTGAGAACTTAATTACGGGACGGAGGGAGTACGTTTGTGAATAAACAATTGATTTTTATTTTAGTAAAAGAATCGTTGGTAGCTCTGAAAAAGTGAATTGTCTATGCACAAATAGGTTGAGGTCACATACAATCCTTTTTACTAAAATAAAATCAATTGTATATAAATAAATAAAATACATTTGGCGTGTAAACGGATGTATGAGTCAACGTGTACATTTGTTTTTTATTTGACCAATTTTCGATTTTCTAAATTATATCTAACTTTAGACTCTTGTAACGTTCTAGTACAAAACAAAGTGATTAAATTTATGGTATTGATATTAAATTGAAAAGGTGATAAAAAATAAATACAGTTTAAAACCATATAAATATCACTAACTCCGTCTCAAAAGATTATCATTTTCAAAACTTTGATCAACTATATCTTTTATTGAAAATTATTTATTATATAATTATATGAAAATGTTCTTTGTTAAAAGTATTTTCGTCAAAGTATAAGATTTGTAATTTTCATAATATTATACTAATCAAAATCTTAGTTCAAATTTTATGAAATGACAAAGTGTTTCAGGAGGACGATAGTATCAAATTTGATCTATGGACAATCTCATTGACACATATCAGTATATCGGACAATCTGATCATTGACACATATCATTATATCTTATACTACCTCCGTCCCACTAACATTGGGACGGAAGAAGGTGACACAATTATTAAGAAAAGTGAGTTTATGTGGTTGATATTGAATTGAAAAAGTAAAAATAAATTAAAGTAAGAATGATTTAGGGAGTGTTTGCAATCACTTAAAAAAAGCATTTCTCAGCTTTTGGCTTAAAAAGCACTTATTTACCAAACACTACCAATTTTTACTTTTTCTCGGCTTGCGTGTGAAAAGTGCTTTTCTCCTTTCTATTACACAAAAAGCACTTATTTTACCAAACACTATCAACTTTTACTTTTCAAAATCACTTATTTCTCAAACACTATCAACTTTTCCTACTAATCACTTTTTCCTTACATCTCCAAAAGTGCTTTTTTAAGCAGAAGCAGTTGCAAACACTCCCTTAGAGCCACACAAACTTTAATTTACCAAATTTGATATGGAACAATCTTAGTGGGACTTCCCGAAAAGGTAAAATGGGACAATCATAGCGGGACGAAGGGAGTAGTACATCTTATCCCTTTCTCAATCTCTTAACATCACACGAAGTACTTTAATATAGTCTAGATGATATGTCAGAATATTTGGACTGGAATTTTGTGGTCTGGTCTGGTCTATTTAAGTCTGGTCTAAAATGGTTTGGTCTGGTCTGGTAAACGTCTGGTCTCAGTGTATTTTATAACTAAGAAATCCTGGTCTGGTCTGGTCTGTTTAAGTCTGGTCTGGTTTGATCTGTTTAAGTTTGGTCTGGTCTGGAAAAGTGGGACATAGTGGGACAGAGGTAGTACTGAACTAAATTTAAAAGACAAAAATATGGTTTTTTTTATTTTTATTTTTTTTAAAATGTGACATATTCAGTGACTAGTTTGTAGTGACTCACAATCTATCAGTGATTTTCACTCTTGAAATAACTATAGTGACCCTTCTAGTTACTCGTACCCAGTGATTGATCATATTTTTTATCAAAAAATATAAATAGTCATATTTTTGTCCGGGAAACTCTAATAGTAATATATGTGACATTTTTTCATAAGTTTTTTTCAATTTTATTATGAAGTGATAAGAAATAGTCCTTGGTTTGTCATCACAATTTATTTGTTATAAAAGCATTAAGAGCGGGAGATTTTCTGTTAAAATTCTATCAAAGTATACAATTTTTTGGGTGAAAGATTATAATCTAGCTCTTTGGATTTTTTGATAGAAGGTGGAAAAGTGGATAGGAGGTTTAATCGGGAGGGTTGTTCTCGTGGATGAGTACGAGTTTGGTGGAGTTTGGCGTATGGAGTACAAAGCTATATCGGAAATGACTCTTTTTGAGCAAAACTAAGTATGAAAAGCTCCCAAATTTCAGATGTGTGCGTAAATTTTGTTGGGCATGAAGATAGGACTATATATATATATATATATTTTTTTTTTTACTCCAGGGGGTCTGGGGGAGGGGGGCTGGGGGGAGCCTGGAGTAATCAGGGCTGAACCTCAGCCCATTGAGTTTCAACCCTTTTGTGTGCCTAGAGGGATTCGAACTCGAGACCTCCCACTAGGCACGGTAACCTCGCAACCAGCTAGGCTGGAGTGCTTGGTTGGACTATATATATATATATATATATATATATATATATATATATATATATATATATATATATATATATACCCTCAAAACTTAAATTTAGGCGGACGACACCCTAAATAGGGTTTAGCTTGGGCAGGGGCGGCGGCGTAGGCACGGCGCTAGCTCTCTGAGTTTGTCTCGCTGGGCCACTATCGCCGAAGGCAAGGGTTAGGTTGGAAGAATGAGCATCATTTCGTGGAACTACCGCGGGTTGGGAAACCTCGCAACTATCTTGGTATTATTGGACACAAATGCTTTGCAAAAGATAGTCAAGGCTTGGGGGGAGGGGGATTTGTCTAATGTGGCGAGATAGCATTTCGGTTGAAATTATTGGTCATATGGCCAATTACATTGATTGATTAATTCAAATCGACGATGATGATCCGAAACGGCATTTCACAGGGTACTATGGCTATCCAGAGCGAGTCACGAGAAGAGAGTCTTGGGCACTGATTAGACACCTATCACAACTCTCGGACAAGCCTTGGCTTGATATGGGAGACATCAATGACATCGTTTCCGACTCTGAATGGTAGGGCAGATTACCGCAGCACCCTTGGATGTTACGTGGATTCCGAGAGGCGATTCACCGCAGCGGTTTACAGAATGTACCCTTTAAGGGTTACCAATTAACGTGGGAAAGAAATCGGGGAACCCAATACCGGATTAGAAAGAAGTTGGATACGTTATTGGTTAACGAGAATTGGATGAATTTATTCGGGGAGTATCAAGCATCCTCGATGGAAGGTCCGACCAGTGACCACCTCATGCTATACATCAGAATGATTAAAACAGGTACCAGGAAGAGGAACAGGTCCTTCAAGTTCGAAAACCTTGGGCTGCGTGAGGAAGGATGTTGAGAGACGGTGCAGCGAGCCTGGGCGAATTCCAGTAATTTGGAGGTTTGGCAACGTCTTCTGAGTTGTGGTGTTGAGCTCGAATTATGGAGTAAACACCACCGGGTGAATTTTCAAGCAAGGGTTGAGGTTTGCAAGAGGAGATTGGCATACTTGAGCCGGGAAGGAGGTCATGAAGGCATTAAAAGCGCAGTTATCTTCAAGAATTCATTTGAATGTCTTTGCGATTGAATTTTTAGCTGAAATTTGATATGATTAAACTAGACTGAAGGAATAAGATGCTAAAAAAATTTCGTCAAAAAATTACACCGGGAACCACCCCAAATGGTGACGGCCGGACAGAGTCTACTATATAAGGGCTTATTTGACCTTTTATGTAAGTTCGAGAATCTATTTGACCCTTTTCCCAAGAAATTATTTGGATTATGAATAGTATAATATTTAAGAATGTGATAATTATATTTTTCTTTAGACGATAAAAAATTATTATATTGCTTGAAAAACACTGCTAATACATATACTTCGTATTTGATTTATGATTGGATTAAAATATTAAATCAGTAGATCACTAATCACTAATTTACATATAGATGAAAATAACAAATGAGACTTGGATAGTGATTAATAACGAACTAATTTAGTTTAATACTCCCTTTCCTTTTTTTAGTAGTCCAAAAAAGAAGTTCCATTTTTCCTAAATGAAAAGTTATCCTACATCAAAACAGTATCAAACAAAGAAGTTCCATTTTTCTTAAATGAAAAGTTATCCTACATCAAAACAGTATCAAACACAGTATTACTAAATGTTATTCCTGATAAGTTTATTTGCGTATAAGTCAAATAGGAACCATCTTTGCGCGAGGACGGAGGGAGTAATAATCAAGACTAGATTAATATCAAAATTGCAAGCTAGTCCGGGCAGCAAGATCCCGGGCATGGTTTACAAAGCGGGTGAGTCCGGCACCGGAACATCGACGGCGAAGGGTGAAATCGGAGTGAGAGAGGCGGCGGTGATGGCTGCAACGGATGTGTTGAGTGCTGAAAACGAGGAGTTTGTGTATCGAATCTGCACAGCCGAGGAGTGGGAGGCATTGCAGAAAAGCGGAAGTTCCTTTGGGGGTGACCTCGACGCTACTACTCGTTATATACATCTCAGCAAGCTGGACCAGGTTAACCAAACCGCGCCTTCTCGGTGGTCATAACTTGTCATTTTTTAAACCAAAATCTGCCATCCCGTTTATAATCCGTCCTCCATTTTCCAATTGATATGAGTCAGTATTTCTATGTTTAGTAGGTTCATATGATATGAATTATATCATGAATCATTGCATACTACTATTTGGTTATTGGTCTTAATCCATATCCCAGAGGGTTTCAAATCTGTTATGGTTTTGCAGGTTGGATCAACCCTAGAGAACTTTTTCATGAACGTAAAAAAGGATCTATATTTGCTGCAAATTGATGCTAAGAAGGTAAAAATTGTCATAACCATAATCTTTTTTCATTCATGATTTTCAGAACATATTTACTAACGTGGATGAGTTTACTTTAATCTTTCAGCTAGGGGAGGGATTGGTTTATGAAGCAGTTGATGATTCTAACATATTTCCTCATTTTTATGGTCCATCCCGAAGCTTTAGTCCTCTCCCACTTAATGCAGTAGTGAGATGTGAGAAATTAGTTATGGAAGATGGAAAATTTAGATGCAGTTTGCTGAGCTAAGTTTGTTCACTTGTTCCTATTAGTTGTTTTGATTGCATTAAACGAGACATGAATGTTTATTAATTATGTATGTGTACTAATTGGTAACTTATTATGTATTTATATACTAATTAATAACTTTAAGTGGTTTGATATTTAACGTAAGCAGTTTGCATTCATTATTTCAATAAATCATGCAATGAATAATGTACAATGCATATGAATGTTGTCTTTAACTTCTTCGAAATGCCCTAACCTTTTAATGCTCTATATGCACCCCCTTGTCATCATGCTATATTTCTTCTCTGCAAAAACAAACAGATCTCTGCAAGTTTCAAACTGAAGGAGGCTAAATGGATGTTAAGGAAAGAGTGTGCCCTCTTCCCTCTCTCTTCTTCCCCTTCTTTAGTTTCCCATTACTACTTTTAATTGGCCTTTTACTGCTTGTTTGTGGTCTTTCGGATTGTAACCCAAAACCCGTCATTTTCAATTTCGGTGATTCCAATTCTGATACTGGAACGTACTTCATCATGCACGGAAGGATTTCACAAATATCACAGACCCTTGCCCAATCCTTGTCCATTCAGACACAGGGCCGTATGTCTGATGGACAATTAGTACTTGATTTCTTTTGTGAGTATACTACCAGCTCATAAATCTACTTTTTTTCCTGCCTGAAAATGAAAAAATGTTTATTTGATGTTCTTTATTGTGTGTATTTTGTAGGTGAAAGCTTGAATGCACATTACCTGAGTCCGTTCCTGGAATCCATAGACGCCAACTTCACAAATGGTGTTAACTTTGCTATGAGCGGTTCTTCTATTGCCCCTACTTCTGTGTTCTTCAGCTTGCAAAACCAAGTCGCCCACTTTAGTAGATTCAAACGACGTTCTCTTGATTTTGTTTCTAAAGGTTATATAGTCAATGCTAGTAGTAACACATATAGTTTAATTAACACTTCACACGTGACACGTCTCACATAATTTTTCATTTTAGCATATCCTACGTATATTATTATACAAAATAACTATCCTTTTAGAAACCCAATGCATATTCTGTAATAATTTCCCAAATTTCCCTATATCAAATGTTATTTTTCCTTAAAAGAAATAAGAAGCATTCAATGTTGAACACTTATGGGGACATGGTTTTCATTTTGTAATGTTGTGTGCACTTTTATAAAACGTCAATTGAATTTAATCCAAAGGAGTATGAAGCAAGGATGGTACAGTGTCTATATCTCTGATTTTGCCTATTCTGTAGGGGACAAGGATTTACTTGGAAATGAGGACTTTGAGAATGCCATATATGTCATTGACATAGGCCAGAACGACATAGATGCAGCATTTTCTTCTCAATCATATGTTGTAGCTGTGCAGAGAATTCCCTTTTTCATTTCTGAAATTGAAAACGCCATGTGGGTGAGCCCTTAGAATTAACACCCTAGTAGTTTTGGGCATTTGAGTTTGCAGAGAAATAAGTTTGGGGCACTTAAAGGTTCAGAAAAGACTCTAAAAATGCTTTTAATTTGACAAAACTCTTTATTTGAGGATGTCTCATGTCTGAGCTCCAGGCTTCCCTCCTAGTGAAGTGATTCAGGCATTGTCTGAATTTTTTTCGAATCTTTTCAACCTTTTCTTTGTTCATATCCTTAGTCAATTGCATTAATTATTTTATTCTTTGTTATAGATCTAATAGTTTCTTGGTGATGCTCCACATAGGTCCTTTACCAGCAAGGAGCAAGGAAATTCTGGGTGCACAACACAGGTCCTCTTGGTTGCTTGCCAAAAACATTAACAAGCAGCAATTTTCCTGCCAATGACCTTGACCAGCATGGTTGCGTGACCAGTTTCAACAGTGGTGCACAGCTTTTCAACGAAGGCCTGCGTCGGCTCCGCGACAAGCTTGCCCATGAAATGAAGGATGCCATCATAGTGTATGTGGATATATATGCCATCAAATATGACCTCATTGCAAATTCATCCGTGTACGGTTAGTACAAGGGTCCGTTTGGTTTAGAGTTATCTAGCTGAAATGGAAGATTGTGTTAAACTTTTCTGAAAGAAAAATATCTATTTTAGGCCAAGTTTGCGTTTGTTTGTGGGGAAATGTGATTTTTAAAGATTTAAACGAAAGTGTTTATTGATAAAAGTTGATTGTGTTTGAAACTCAAAATGATTTTATAAAAGAAGTCAAGTCTCGGGGAAAAGGTAAATCTTTATTAATTGGATAAAATATTGTAAAGTGAAAAGTTGTTTTAGGCACCCTTTTCCATACTAGCACTTTTTAGCTTTAAAGTGCTTAAAGTCAACCACAAATTGCGATTTAAAGCACTACTTATAGTTTTTAAAACCAAGAAGTACAAAAGTTGTTCTGAAAGGCGACTGCAAGCACTCCCGTCGTCAAATAAGTGAGTCATTAGCTTCTACTCATTCTACTAATAAGCACGATAAGGTGCTACTTATCTAATCTAATAAAGCCTAAAGTTATGTGCAACTCACAATCGGCTTAATTTCGAACGGCAGGTTTTGAAAATGCGGTGACAGCTTGTTGTGGCTATGGAGGGGGGCAATACAACTATGATCCCATAGTCCAGTGTGGCGTACCAGGGTTCAAAGTCTGTGAGAAGAGATCTGAGTATGTAAACTGGGATGGGATTCACTACACAGAAGCCGCTAACAAATTTGTTGCCAACAAAATACTGACCGGTCATTACTCCACGCCTCAGGTTGCACTTGCTGACATTTTATTCTCTTCACATTCTGCTGCTCATGCTTTGGCACCTGCACCTGCCTGAGCATGAGAACACTACCGCACCTTCATTTTCCATTTCGATTCAGCAAAGTTCTATATTCTTGTGGTGCTATCATTTGAATGAAAGCAATGTTTGTAAGTTGTAACACCCAATTTTCCCCACTTCTAAGAATTTGATTTTATTAGAATAATACTACTTCCGTCCCTCTTATATTGGGACACAAGAGGGTGGCAGACACGATTATTAAGAAAAGTGGGTTTGTGTTTTTGATATTAATTGATAAAGTAAGAATAAAGTAAGAATGATTTAGAGCCACACAAACTTTACCAAATATGGTATGCGACAATTTTAGTGGGATTTCCCGAAAAAATAAAACGAGACAATATAAAGGGGACGGAGGGAGTAATAACTATTACTCCCTCCGTCCCTATTATATCTTCCAAATATGTTTGGCACGGAGTTTAAGATAGTGGGTATTGTGTGGTGGAGAGTTGTGCAGAGGAGAGAGAAATGTGTAAGAATTGCTGTGAACCACAAATTCTGGCCAAAAAAGAAAGTGGAATTTTTAATTGGGACGGACGAAAAAGGAAAGTTGGAAGTTTATTTGGGGACGGAGGGAGTATTATTATTACTTAAAACCAGTGTTCTAAAAGGCCTTAAAAGGCTCCGCCTAGGCGGGCCTAGGCCCAAGGCGTCAGCCTAAAGCCTCGCACAGCCCAAAGGCGTAACAAAAGGCGGCTCATATTTTAAGGAAGCCCATAGCAATTAAAACTACTATCCTGGACCAGATAAGCCGGTCAACTAGCTTTCAACTAGGTCGCTTGTCGCTGATTTGGCCATGCGTTGGCGAGGGACGAATTTATAACGCGCTTGGAAGGCTGAAAAATGTTTTGTAATCGGTGTGGGAAAAACAAATTGCATAAAGTACTCCGTATTTGCTAGGTGCAGTTCCATCTCACCCACAACTTGCATGTGCTCTTTTAAAATTTGAAACTGTGAAACTTTATATATTACTCCGTATTATTCCCTCCGTTCTTTTTTATTAGTCATTTCCTTTTTGGGACGCTTTTTTTTTATTTGTCTCCTTTCCCTTTAAGGAAAGTTTTTGAGAAAATACCCCCATTTTTATTACTTTTACCCTACTTACTTTTTACAAACTTCTTTCTCTTTCCTACTTTACCATCAATTTACTTTTCTTAATACACTCTCTTTCCTACTTTATCATCATTTTACTCTTTTCCTACTCTTTTCCTACTATCTTCCAACGAGATGAAGATAGTACTATAATAAAAATCATGTTCTTGAATAACGTTATTTAAAAATAGCTTTAGAAAAATTAAAATAAATGATAACAAATCGATCAAAACGCCTTTTCACGCCTATGTATCGCCTAGGCTTCAAAGGCTTAAGGCTTGGATGTGCCGCCTCGACACGCCTTACGCCTTTTAGAACATTGCTTAAAACAATAATCTTTGTGCAAGTATTTTCAGCAGAAGACCATCACATGGTGCGATGGGAGATCGATGAGTTTTCTTTATAAACCATCAATACTTTTGTTGTATGAAAAATATTACACGGTTCTTTATGCTGGTGCACTGGTTTTTTCGTTATTGAAAATCAATATTTCTAAAGATAAATGAAGTTCACATTTTTATAAATGATGTTTACTACGTACAACGTACTGCACGTTAAAACTCAAAAGTTTAACACTTGTTCTAGTAGGAAATTAGGTTTGATTTTAGGAATAATTTTCATAAAATGTGATGTGTAAAGAAGAAATGTGTTATTTCTATTTTTATGATTAGAAAGATTAGAAATAGTAATACTACGTAAGAAATAGAGATGTCCCTTCATAAAAGAGTCTCATTGCAACACTTTGGCAAACAAACATGACTATTTTGAAGGCACAAATCTATGAAATGACATTTATTTCATATAAATAAGGAGCTATGAGAGCGAGAATATCGAACAACTGGTACGGTATAATCATACAGTCAGGAGTATTTTTGTAATATTAGTTGATAATTGCGACTTCGGTTGATTGAGCGTTAATTCATTTTTATTGAGTGTCACGTTCATGGTCTTGAGTATTAAGAGTATTAAGTATCGTAACATTTAATTACGTATGCTTCATATAATCATATGTTAGAAGACGAGAGTTTTGTTCACAACAAAGTTCCAACATATTACAAAAAGACTTTGTCGTACCATGTTGTAACACATAAATTGCCGAACTACGTTTCCAAGTTAAAAAATAACATTGCGTACATTCTCATCATCCTATTAGAGGTGATATATACAAATACATATAATATCTATTTTTAAAGCTATAATTGGATAATTATTACAACTAGTCGGTCATCTTCTTGGGTCGTCATCGTTGTCTAAATTATATTTGGATTAATTATGTACTGTGTTGTGTTATATACACACAGTAATATATGGATGGCATCTTCACATTTTGATCCCTAGTACGACAATATATTATTTGTGATAGACAATATGGACTATGACTACACGGTCTGACGACTATTGGACACGGACATCAACTTATGTTCACTTAGCAAACATCATTTGTATTAATGTATATTTGTACAGTTTACATATTCATTTTGTATCTACTAGATTAACTGTGTACGTAGTTGGCAATCAAACTCATACTAAAAGCCCGACTCACTATTTCTCTATATATACTACTTATGAGAGGCATCGTAAATCCTAACTAGTCATCCAATATTTATGCACATTCTCTTTCTTTCTAGCTCAATCTCCCTTGAATTATACTGTATGGCTAACAATTATCTATCAATTATACACACTATAATTCAAAACAAAAGTTTATGGAGAAATGTTAAAAGTTCACAACAAAAATTTCACGAGAAGTGTTAAAAGCTCAAAACATGTTTTGTTTGTTTCAAGATAATAAAAAAAGTTCTCATAAACATGTGTAAAAGTGTGTACAACAGTAAAATGTGTACAAAAGCTTTTTTTTCTATAATTTGTACATTGTATAGAATTAAAAATTTTATATAGCTTTTTTTACTTCTATAAACTATAAAATTATAAAAATAAAAAAAAGTACAACTTGTATACTTTGAAAACGTATATCTGCATCAAAATTAAACACTTTTAATATACTCTTAATATATGATTATATCAAAATAATCTATTATATATATAATTTTAAATAAATTAAAAATATGAAATGAAAAAATACAATCGGAAAATATAAACATAATATGAATTATCAAACCAAAATCTAAAATATATTCATAGTACAAAATATTAGATATAATAAATCAAATAAAAAACTAAATGTAATCGGTAAAAATATAATGTTTATTTTCTTAAATAAAATATAAATATAAATATGGAAATAAAGTTAAAGAATTTTTTTTATTTATATTTTAATTTTTATTGTCTTTACTACTAAATATAAATACTTCATATTTATATTTTATATTTTTTTCGACTCGTATTTTTATATTTTATATAAATTTTCTATTTTTAATTTTTAATTTTTTCGCATTTTGGACACTAACAGTTGAGGGGTGAATAAAACAATTTGATCAGGTTTAGGAGCAAATATGAATATATGATTTCTTAAGTTGTTGCATCAGATACAGAGTTGGCACCAGCTGTTTTGGCAGTGGCCAGGCCTTTACCCGCTTAAAGTTTTGAATCTTTCTATTAGTGGTGGTGGGGGGGGGGGGGGGGGGATTTAACATTTCGGGCAGGAAGAGGGTCTCTTCAACCCTGTGGCCTTAGTTTTATCATAGGTGAAACCTTGTTATCGAAACGAAGACGCTAGATCAACTTTAAAAAGAAGTAATCTAGACATGGCAGTGGTGAAGAAGGATAACCTGGAGTCAACAATGCCCTAAAAAAAGTCCATAGTTGTATGATAGTTTACATGGTTGAAATTATCTCCACCAAAAAACGAAAATATGAAATTGCTATTACAAATTCCAGGGTTGCTATTACAGCAGCAAACCGTCAGTGTTGCAGGGTTAGTCATTAAGGAACATAGATTACTGCATTTGGTGAGGATCTCGGGTAAGCAAGAAGATTTTGTATTACACTAACAAAGTCATCTGTACCAACAACATTAACAACCATCTTTTCCAAGACGGTACACCCCTTGAGCAAAAGTTGCGCCAGTGTCATCATTGGTTTACCTTGAAAATTTGGATCCGGCCATATAGTGATTTCAATTGTCTTTAGATTCAATAACTCACAGCGTAAATCATATGTTACACATTCAGGATCGAAACAGGGGCTATTCTGTAAGAGCAAAGACAATAAATTAACGTATTCCGAAATTGAATTCAAATATAAAAGTTGACCTTTTGTGATATACAAAGCATAAAGAGTATTTAGTTACTGATTGATATTGAAATGTACTACTTTGATAGGTTAAAGATCTTAACTCTCACTTCAGATTCATTATACTTTTACCAAAAAAAGATAATACTAAACAAAGTGAGGCTTTGTCTACGACCAATATTTCATCATATAACTAAATTTAAGTGTCAGATTAACAACTCTATATTAAGACATAAGCAATTGAAAGTGCAACTCCTAAACATAAATCCAAGCCTGAATTTAGAACAAGAACACTTACCTTTTTGGGTTTATAGCCATCTATGACCAATGTCTCAAGGTTTGGAGAAGATTCAAGCAGGCATATGATACCATCAATGTCCAGATCATTGCATGAGACATTTGCTTCCAAACACCGTCGGGTAGAATGTGAAAGCTCGAAGCTATTCAGTGCAATCATTGATATAACCTAGCATACATAGACAAACAGTATGAAGCAAGATCTTAGTATTTCAAAAATTACTTTGTAAGTAGTTAGTAAGTACCATTATTAGTTAAGGGTATAAGCTGAACTAGGGATTAAACACGTTTTTCGCAACATCATATTAACAATTTAAACAATTCAAAAACCATTTGGCCGTCACATATTGTAGACAATATGGATCCCAAGATGCAAGAACATAATATAATAACAAAAATAATACTACATAGTAGACAGTAGAAACCTGCATGATATCACGTCCCAGGTTGAGCTTGTTAACATGCTGAAGGTTATCTAAAAAATCTTTGGTGTTACTCAATATTTCTGAACAGCTTGGATCCCAATCAGATCCAACAAGGTCAATAGTAGCTTTAACTGCGGAAGAGATGTTTGCGACCCGCCATTTTCTTCCTTGGAGATACGGGGTAAGAAGTAAAGTTTGTGCTAGGGGAGCTGAAATTTCGAGTAGGGGATCCTTATTTCCATCTTCAGAGTCTCCTATCCCAAGCAAGGTGAA